TCATTTACTGAATATTCAAAAAACATCATAAGTGTGTTAGCCATTTTGTTATTCACTATCACAGCAAATTTTAATGATATAAATCCACAGTTTAGAGATGGGAGCCTAAGCTTAAGAAAATAATTTATTCAATGTCATATCCAAGTAGAGTTCAATAGTTCAATATAGTTACCAAAGATCTAATTGATCATACTATCCAATACCCTCTCTTTCTGTCCCTCATTTTCGGTCCAACCTTCCTCCCTAGATGTCCTGGGTTCATTTGGCCTTTGAATAGCATAGAGAAGAGCATATTCCAAAAACTGTGCAAAATTACAGCAAATATTAAATCTGATGAAGTTTCAATTGTATTAATAAAAACAAGTAATATGATTGTTCCTAAAGAAATCAATATAGTTTGTCCTGTTGTATAAAGAATTATATTTTAATGACAGCTTTTGAAAGAGTTTGGAGCAAAATATCTAAGGATTTTGTGTAGCCTTTGGCTTATAGGTTATACTGTATATCTTTTGATTAGCAGAATATAATATCATACTAGAATAAAGAAATATTGGAATCGAGAATGAGTTATTCTGAAAAAGGAAATTTGCTTTTTATAACAAGTATGAAGCTTCTGTGTTGTTTCAAATACAACAGTTCTTGACTTACAACTGTTCGTTCAGCAACTGTTTGAAATTATAATGAGGCTGAATAAAGGGACTTATGAGCTGTACCTGAAGTCATGGAATCTGGTCACATGGTTACATTTACAAAATTTTAGCATTTGGCAATCAGCCTGCCTTTAAAACTGACCACAGGAATGCTGCAGCCAGCTTCTCCAGCTTATCTTCTCAAACATCCCACCCCTTTGGGTACCTTGGGTCAACCCTCTCACCCAGCTGAGTCTCTGCAGGTCTTGGCTCTGCTTCTCATCTCACTGGGTCTCATACCTCCTCCATGCCCCCCCAATCACATCTCGCTTCACTTCATCTTTGGGAAGGAGAAGATGCCGATCTGCCAAGCAGCCTTCCTATACAGAAGCTGCATGCCGCTGTCCTGGAAGCAGGTGCCACTTTGAAAAGTAGCTTTGATTTTCACAATCTGAGAATTGTGGCTGCTCCCAAAAATGATGCCTGCTTCCAGGATGGCACTACATGGCCTCTGTATAGGAAGACTGCATGGTGACTTGATAAGTGGATCAAGGGAGGAGGGTTGGGTCTGCAGGAACTCAGCCATGTGGGAGATAGTCCTAAGCGTGTGGGGCTCAGCGGGACAGGAAATGGAGCACAGGGTGCTTCACGAGGTGGGGTAGGCCCAGGGCTGGCCCACCTATGAGTGTGGGAGCTGCTGCAGTACTGCAGATATGCTCCCAGGGTGTACCCCATCTTCTGAGCCCCTCCCACTCTGTTTAACAACCACAAGGGGGAAAGCAGAGATTATGATCATTAAGCAAGTTGATCATATGGATGCCTCACTTAATGACCACCACAATTTACAACCATAATGGGCAGCCTGCATTATAATCACAGGCTGTGCCCTACCTCTACGAGTATTTTCTGTTTTCTAATTGTTCATGACCTTAAGTGAATGGCTTATTTACTGCGTTACGTGTCCAACTGAGATTCCTTTTCAGTTGCTGTTTGCCTTGTAGATTAAAATGCTGCAACTATCTTCATAAGCACTTAGACTGCGAATGGAGTAAAACAGCCATAAGGATGAGCATTTTGCTTACAAAAAAACATTAGAAAACTGCACAGAGCCATGAGAGAGAGAAAGGGCAAGGTGGGGGGAGAGGAAATATCTGCTATCATTCTACCGAAGACCAGATGTAGAATCAGATATACAACAGCGGAACAAATAGGGCAAAATATTAGGGAGCTTAAAGTTTCAGCCAGCCACTAAGTAACTCAAGCCATGTGAAACAATCCTGATTCTTTCCAGAAAATGTGAAGTGCAAGAGTTTTCAGAATTTCTGCACTGAAGTATATTAGAATTCAGGCAACTAATAACATTATATTTAAACAGTTTTAATTATGGTGCATATTTGGATTTTATACACTATTAGCAATTCTGAAAGCAACATATCCTTTCTTGAAATCATGCCAAGTATTTTGAAAGAATATACACATCTGCAAATTGAGAGCTATCAAGCTTTCAAAAGTAACTGCATTTTTTTTCAAGGCACAGGAGTTTTTATTTACTTGAACTGTTGAAGTTCAGCCAAGAGAAACCCAGTGAGTCCAATAAAGATGTTCCTTAACAATAGGTCACTGGCAAGCTTCTAATTTAAGCTTCCACACTAGTCTGAGATACAAGGAGACTGTCAGTATCATCATAATAGATTATATTTCATTCAGATTTGCCTCTGTTATCAAGGACCAGATCAAGCCCTTAAAGATTTGGTTTTTAATTTTGCCATCAAGATGGTGTCAACTCTTAGTAGCCACAAACAGAGATCTCCAAATTGATCTGTCCCCAATCTCACTCTTCAGGTCTTTCAACAGTGCACCAATTACCGCTGTAATCAAGTCTATTCACCTTGCTGCTATCATTCTCGTATCTTTCTTATCATGGAGGATTTCTCAAGAGAGCTAGACTTTTCAACTCTTTGCATAATGTGTCCAAAGTAGGATTATTTGAGTTATTTGTGCCTCAAGTGTTAACTCTGAGTTTATTTGTTCAATTATCCAATTGTTTCTTTTTTAGCTGCCGATGGTATTATTATTGTTCTCAGGAGTCTTCCCAACATCAAAAAGGGTCAATATTCCTTCTTTAAAGTCCCACTTTCATTTTCAGAGAATGTCACAAGTGAAACTACTGCCTTCACAATTCTGTTCCCTGTACTGTAGATCAGGGCTTTTCAACCTTTTCACCCATTGTACCACTTTTAGGATATGGCAACATCCGAGTACCACCAGTCGCCTAGCAAGGTGTCAAAAACTTGATGACCAAAAAAAAAAAAGGAAAAAAGTCATAAAGTACAGGTAGTCCTCGACTTACAACAGTTGTCAAGCATATGAATGTAAATCACAAGACCCTGGAGATGCTGCAACATTCCAGCTGATCGGCACTTCTTCTGGGCTCAGCAGAAGCGTCAGGATCAGTGCTGCTTTCCAACTGATTGGTGCTTCTTCAGGGCTCAGCAGAAGCACCAGGATCAGCGCCGAGCTCCAGCTGGAGCCTGGCACTGATCCTGGCGCTTCTACTGAGCCCTGACAGCCCTGAAGAACCGACGATCAGCTGGAAAGCGACACTGATCCTGGCGCTTCTGCTGAGCCCTGACAGCCCTGCAGCTCCAGCTATCTCTCTCTCAGGCTTGTGTGGTGCTGCCACCGGTTCACCCCGCTACCACTTTTCTAGGATGGTTGTGTACCATCTGCCAGGTGCCAATGTACCACAGGAGGTACCCGTACCACTGGTTGAAAAGCCCTGCTTTTCACAAATACCTCCACTCTTTTTATTTCCCTTTAAAGCAAGGGTGTAAAAACTGAAGTCATATCATCACATGTGGCTCCTGGCTGAGCATTTTTTCCCAGTCCCTTCTAACCACTTATGCCAAAATTTGGCAGCAATATTTTCTATCAAATTGACGCTAGAAACACACAAAGCCTGAAACAGGTGCTACGTCATTTGATCAATCATTTCCAACAAAAGCCCAAATAATAAAAAAGCCTAAATTAAAAATAATCTAAAAAAAAATCACAGCACTGTAATGAGGTCTTCAATTCTTGCTCCATAAGACTGCCCATCCATTCTTCACAATGCCTTGACTTCGAAGTCATGTGTTCCAGATAAGATTTGCATGGTTAGTATGTTCTTAGGGGTTTTTTAATCCATACTGTATTCCTGAAGTGTGTTTCCAGGAAAACTGGCAGCAGAGGTCAGACCCAGAATGGAAAGAGAAAGTGCATTATGGGATGATCAGGAGTGCAGCAGTATATGATGCAACAAACTTATAAAACTCTTCATAAAGCTGAAAAATGTTATGAAAAAACAACTAGACATCAAGCAGATGTAGCTTACTAGCATCACTTGTGTCTCCAGAAATTTGGCAAAAACTACAACAGTTATTTGCACATGGATTATTAATGAAATTATAGCAAACAAGTTCTGGGATAAGTTAGACATATGAGCTTGCATTGTGCCAATAATCACTGCGTATTTTTTTCCAGTTTTATGTAATAATGAATCTGGCTGCCTGCCAGCAGAACAATCTTGTACACACAAACTGGACTTTCCTTCTGTTCGGTATAGAAGACAAATGTCCACTATGCCAACTAGATCTGTTATCAACAACAATAGCCATTTCCAATGATAAGGTACGCACAGCAAAACTCATTCTGATCGGTAATATGGTCAGGTTTCAGGAAAAAAATGGCTGTAACTAAACAGTCATGAGAAGTCAAGTATAAACATCAAGTAAGCTTGGTTGAAATAAGTATTTCCCAACCTTTCCCAAGCATGGCTGGCTGGCGAATTCTGGGAGTTGAAATCCACACATTTTCAAGTGGCCAAGTATGTTCAACTCTAATTTAAACTAACGTCCAAAGCAGAGGTTCTGATAATAATAATAATAATAATAATAATAATAATAATAATAATAATAATAATAATAATNATGATGATGATGATGATGATGATGATGATGATGATGATAAAGTTGGAAGGGACCTTGGAGGTCATCTAGTCCAACCCCCTGCTCAGGCAGGAAACCCTATACCATTTTGGACAAATGGCTGTCCAGTTTCTTCTTAAAAACTTCCAGTGTTGGTGCATTCACTGCTTCTGGAGGCAGGTTGTTCCACTAGCAAAGATTAATCACAGTTAAGATATTAAAACTGCTGTTATTTTAAGTAAGTGAATGCTCTGAATTTTACAGTAATGCTAAGGCTGGAAAAGGCAGTAGATCCCCAGACTCAAAGTCTTATTTCCTTAATGCTAAACTATTGTTTATCATTACATCCAAAGCAGGCCAGTGTTATTTCTCCAATTTCATGGAATTGGGAAACACAGGTTAGACTATTATTATTATTCTAAGCAACTATAAGTTAGCCACACATAATTTTCTTAGATCCACGGAACACTGCAGAAAAAGCACTGTCAGTATAAGAGCATTGAAGCTTGTCAATAGTTTTGTGCTGACACAACATTTGTACTGCACACACTGACCTCCTAATATACTGATACTGAAAAAATACTGAGCAGGCAGTATGAATAAAAAAGGCTTGCAGGTCATATACAATGTCACAATGTATTGAATCTGAAAGAAATAATGAAAGAAGAAGCAAAGAGCATAATTACATGATCGGCATTTTAAAATAATTCCAAATTGCTATTGTAAGAATGCAGATCTGCATGTTTTTTCTATTTTCAAATTAAAATATATAGATCATTACTATCATCTTTATGTTATTTTGGAAACAAGATTTTAGAACATCTCAATACAGATTTAAATAGGGGTCAGGACACAGAATAAGGAAATTATGCAGCGATGTATTGAAATTTAGCAAATTTGAGTATATCTTATGCTCAAGGGAGATTACAATATAATTCTGAAAAACACAAGCATACAGTTCTAGTCATAGCCTCCAAGTCACTCTTGTGTTATAAAGAAGAGAGGAGGGACAGAACATCACCCAATAAATAAAGTTTTACAAGTCCTTGAATGAGCATATAGAAATAGAAATTTACAGCGCCTTGCAGATGTTTGTGATACCACTGAAAACTAAGTCCAATGAATTATAAAACACAAAAGTATATCTAAGGATGCAAAAATCCTTTCTCAACCATAAGAAAGACAGAAATAGTATTATTTTAGGCTCTCAGACTATAGCACAATAAACATTTTATTAACAGTTTGCTGTGTTTATATTTTATTAAGTGGGGATATATTTATACTGAATAACTCGGGGGGGGGATTCATTTTCTGCATTACTGGTATATGTATTCTCCAACTGTTACATGAATTCCAAAATTTAAGATTGTGTTTAATACAATGTATTACTGAAATAGCTCAGAATAACATTTTATGAAGAACATTCTATTGTTTTTAACAAATCAAAAGATTTGTCTGAGATGGTATAGGTTCTCCTGCTTGATCAGGGGGATGGACTAGAAGACCTCCAAGGTCCCTTCCAGCTCTATTCTATTCTATTAATGCTAGATAAACAATCAAGTAGTAAACCATATCCCAGTCAAGGAAGTATTAACTCAGACAAACAACCTAACAGTGAACAGCCTAATCAAGAAACCATCAAGAACATTCCCATGACACTGACAAGGCAAGCTACCACAGTAGTCCTCGATTTACAACCACAATGGAACCCAAAATTTCTGTTGTTAAGTGAGATAGTTGCTAAGTGAGATTTGCCCCATATTACAACCTTTCTTGCCAGTTGTTAAGTGAATCACTGCAGTTGTTAAATTAGTTACACAGTTGTAAAGTGAATCTGGCTTTCCCATAGACTTTGCTTGTCAGAAGGTTACATGACTCCGAGACACTGCAACCATCATGAATATGAACCAGTTGCCAGATATCCTAATTTTAATCACATGTCCATGGGGATGCAGCAATAGTCATAAGTGTGAAAAATGGTCATAAATCATTTTTTCAGTGTCTTTGTAACTTCGAATGGTCACTAAACAAATGGATGTAAATCGAAGACTGCCTGTGGTACATAAACAGAGAGCAAACCCTGTTCTCTTCTAGCACTGGTGTTACTTACTTGGGTAATGAAACATCTTCAAGAAAACAACCAAACTCAGAAGACCCCACTATCCACCCAAGTTTATGCTCCACTTATGGTCTCCTTGACTTGGAAACCCAGACTGAGGGGCATCATCCAGAAGGTTATTGGCTTTTGGAGTTTATAAGCAATCAACCATTTGAGGCCCACTCAGTAAGCAAGGAAGATGCAGGAGGGAGCAGATATTTCCAAGAGAGAACCCAGCCCTAGGACATACTGAGACCAAAGACATGAACACCTGTCACTAAACCATGTCTGCATCTAGTCCTATGTCCTTGCTTCTTGTTCTGTCTCTTGTTTCTTTAACTCAAATTGGCTAACTTATTTGGATTTTGACTCCTGGACCGTTGTGGATTAACCCTCTTAAATTTGACTTTGGACTGAGTCCAGCAAGACTTCTGCACAGCTGGCCTTTATGTCTGACTGCTTGCTACTTGCCAGTAAGCCAGTTCAAATCAAGTTGGCATACATATGCTCAGTGTGGAACAGTACATCATTGTTGTATGCTAAGATTCAATCTTGGTTATTTGTTATTTTTCAATTAAAACACCAACTGATGAAAATAAATATTGGTGAGAATATACAGTATACTATACAGAGTTTTCCCATACTCTCTGTCAGCTTTCAAGTATGGCTGTTCCTACATTCACCTGAAAGTTACTCAGCCAAGACTTCAAGGAAAAATAATATTTTTTAGAAGAACATACTGCATGCATTTACAAGGCACCTATTATATGAAGTAAGATAGTAGGAATTGAGAAAAAGGGAAAGAAGTAGAAAAAAAGTATACACACACACACACACACACATACATAATTTTTAACTGAATTTATTAACACATCAAAGATGGAATTTGCTATGAAGGAGAACTTTGTGATAAATGGCGAGGTTAGGAAATATTTTAATAAATTCAGGCAGGCTTTACCTCTAACCCTGGCATCTTTCTGAATCAGAAAAATCTGGCACAAGTACTAATACAACACAACTGTGATCCATTCAGAACATGCTATAGCTGTGGAGAAGATTTGCCAAAAAAGGAGTGCCTTGCCATCAGGCAACCTGTCAGGCAGTGTGACAGACGCTGTCTTCCTTACCAGCACACAGATATTATGCACTGATGATAACTGTGTGTCCATGCTGGCATTTTATCTGTCACAGATATGTAAATATGTCATTACATCTGGATGCAAAGTGGGCAGAGACCTAAGGCTCCATGGGCCTACAGGAAGGAGAGGGTGAACAGCTGCACTCAATAAACACCATGATGAAAGACCCAACTTACCACAAACAGAAAATACAGATTTCTTTCATTAAAGCCCTCTAGGTAATGGTTGTGGCGAACGCTTGCCAAAACGGGCTTTAAGAACTAATGCAGTTACATCAAAAAGTTCCAGTCTCTCCAGCACAAAGCTCTGATATACAAAAGCTGAGGCTTTTATGCTTTCTGTCACAGAGTAAAAATAAAATCAAAGTGAAAAACTAGCCCACACAGGAGCCAAAAAGAAAAAAAAAAGATTAAGGGAGGGACAAGGAAAAGGGCAGTCAAATTCTGTTTAGCTGGTGGGTTAATTCCTGCTATAAGAAGCAAAGTGATGGTTTCTTAGATCCAACCACAAGTATGTTCACACTAGAATTTAACTGCTAGAATTATCCTTGAGTAACTCACACAATAGCAGCATTCATATTTTCAGTAGTAGAAAACTCAATTCGAGTGTTGAAAGACCTAAGACCAGTTCAAAGATTCAGAGTGTTAAATAGGAAATATGAACAGATCTGGCATTTTAAGTCAGTACTCCTGTTCACATGAAAGGGAGAAATATGTCCTTAGTTGCCTCCATTCTAATGGGGTACATAACAAACTTCCCCCAACCTGCTGTTCTCCAGATGTGCTGAGTGGGAGGTAGGAAGCACCAAGTTGGAGAAAAGTAGTTCAAAAGACCCAGTCTTGGCTTTAAAGTGGGTAAAGGAAAGGTGAAGGATAAGAGGCAAAGAAGCTCTATCCTGAATGAAACATAAAACTGATCACAAAACAACTGTTCACAGTTAGAGCCTATTGCCGCTATTGCTTTTCAAGCAAGGATAGGCAAGGTATGGCAGCAGAACATACTCACAGCAGATATTTTCATACTTCAATTGCGCCTCTCAAATGTATTACCTTATTAATTGACCAAGCATCAATGTGCATTATAAAAAGATTTGCTTCCTGGTCCGTGGAAGGGGATAATGCAAAAATGATATGCTTTTAATTCAGTTTGGTATTCTTAGAACAGAGTATGGGGGACTCTAAAGGTAGTCTTCAACTTACAATCATTCATTTAATGACCTTTCAAAGTTACAATGGCACTGAAAAAAATGACTTATGACTGTTTTTTACATTTACGATCCCCATAGCCATGTGATCAAAATTCAGATAGTTGGCAATTGGTTCATATTTATGAAGATTGTAGTGTCCCAGGGTCATGTGATCAATTTTTGTGATCTTCTGACAAGTCAATGGGGAAGCCAGATTCACTTAACAATTGTGTTACTAATTTAACCGCTTTGGAGATTCACTTAACAACGGTGCAAAACTCACTTAACAACTGTGTTGCTTAGCAACAGAACTTTTGGGCTCAGTTGTGATCATAAGTCGAGGACTACCTGTATTTGAATTTTTGGTCACATTGGTTACTTTAGACATTTCATGGTAAAAGATGAGGTAAATTAAAAAAAACATAAATTAAAGACAATGGCTTTTACCAGCTTTTGAGAATCCTTGCCTTACTTTTTACTGTAAGTAAGCAAGCCACCTTGAGAGATATCAGCATTTAAAAGATGACAGCATTAGAAAAGCTCCCAAATAGATTATATAAATTTTATATTTATCAGAAATCAAAAATAAGAAAAAGAGAAATTCTGCCAAAACAGTGAGCCCTTAAAACAGACAAGGGCATTATAAAAACCACCATCCATGTTATCCACTGACCTGACTTTCTTGCCTCCTTCCTTCAGCATTTTCACTAAATCAGCAATTGGATACTGAGCCTTTGCTGCACAGAGGCCATAACCTGTAGAAATGAGGAAAAGATCCAAAATAAATGATGGCTTTGAATAAAGCTCTAATTCTTCCAAAATTTAAACCCACAACTTTCATGTTCTGACTATAAAGATACAATTTGCCATAAATGATTGGTGCATATTCTTAGTTAAGTACCTCTTGGTGAGCACGCTAACAGAGTGGTCTCAAACCTTTCCAGCTCCATGTACCAGCAGCAACGGTGGCAAGGGGAAGGGGATGGTTATGTACGTGCGCCTGTCGCTTGCACAAATGAAACTTCACATCTTATCTGCCGCTTATGCGGCCCGGTTCACAATGGGCCACAGCCCCGTACTAGGCCAAGGACCGGGGGTTGGGGACTCCTGTCCTAATGTTTTTGTTTTCTATTGCAATACAGCATGGTCCAGATCCCATTAATTCAAAAGTATTGTCTTGTGAAACCCAGGAAATATGTTTGCTCTGTTGCAGCACGTGCCTGCTGAAATGATATCCCTCCCCCAAGAACCCAGATAATTCCCATCCTGATAGCTTTCAGGAATCTATTAAAATCCTGATTATTCTCTCATGTTTGGGAGCAAAGTGAAGGTTGAACCCTGCTTGATATTTTTTTTTATTACATATCGGTTTAGCGGATTTCATAATCCCCTTTCATCAATTTGTATTTCTAATTGTAAGCCACTCAGTGGGAGTCAAGGGGCCCCAAACCTCTGTAAATAAAATCAATCTCGTGGCCAATTTTCCCATGGTGTACTGGTTTAAGTCTACCTTCACCCATGGAAGCTCAGTGGATGATTTTGGGAGCACAATCAATCAATCAACTTACCCCATGAAGTTTTTATTTACTTTTATTTTAGAATAGAATAGAGCTGGAAGGGACCTTCAAGGTCTTCTAGTCCAGCCCCCTGCTCAAGCAGGAGAACCTATACTGTCTCAGACAGGTGAATGTCTAGTCCAGGGGTAGTCAACCTTGGCTCTTTTATGACTCGTGGACTTCAACTCCCAGAATTCCTGAGCCAGCTGGTAGTCTCTTCTTAAAAATCTCCAGTGATGGAGCACCCACGATTTCTGGGGGCAAGCTGTTCCGCTGCTTGATTGTCCTGTCAGGAAGTTTTTCCTTAATTCCAGGTTGCTTCTCTCTTTGATCAGTTTCCAACCATTGTTTCTCGGCCTTCCCTCTGGTGCTTTGGTGAACAACCTGGCTCCCTCTGCCTTGTGGCAGTCCCTCAAATACTGGAATACTACTAAATTTTATTTACTCTCAGGAAATAACTTGGCTATAACTTGAAATATCATATAATGTTTGCACAGATTCAGTCAACCTACCACACAGTACTTTTTTAGGAAACAGTTCTATGAGCACACAATTGTTGCTACATAGAATGCAATTATCAGAAGCAATGTCAAAAGTAAGATGGGAGAAAGTCAAGATAAGGACTTTCGGTTACAACAGAGGTTCCCAACCCCCAGTCCATGGACCGGCACTGGTCCACAGCATGCATAAACCAGGCTGTGCAAACAAGCGAAGCCCTATCTGCGGGTTGCAGGCAGCACACAAAAACATGCCCCCTTCTGGTCTGCAGGAAAACCTCTTTCCACAGAACAGTTCCGTTGCCCAAAAGGTTGGGGCAGATGGGTTATAGGACTCCAAACATATAATTTATACTGCAGACTAGGAGTCAAGCAGCATACAGGTTTAAGTTATTACTGTAGTTTGTTGCACATCAGCTGTGAACTGTATTTGGCATTTTTACCAACCCAATGAGCCTTTCTCAAGAACCTGGGATAGGCTGTTCTTCTTTGATGATCTTAAAGGTATCATTGTAGCATAAGCTGTTCCTGGTAAAGCTGCCCTCTATATTGTTGACAAATGCAAACAAATGGGTTTTCCTTCTCAATTCCCCTATGTTAAGTTGGCATGGATCTCAATTTGTCCCTTTGGAATCAGGCAGTAAAACTGGGCATCCATTTCATTTACAATCTGGGCTACATCATCAAACAAAGTCATGCAAAGATGTGGCTGGATAGGTGCACCATTCCCCTTTTCAACCCTTAAGCTAACTCATTTAAACTTTGCTATGATATGATTCTCTAATATTGCATTTTATTTATTAGATTAGCATCTTATAGCACTAGAAGTTTGGGTTAAAGACAATGAATGGTGAACTTCCACTGCTGAGTGCAAACTTGAACCTGAGTCTACAGCACACCAGAGGAGCAGGTATAATTCAATAGTGTTCCTCAACATACAAGCAGTGGCGATGCCATGATGAATAATTCAGTCTTCAAACACTACACACTGACGTAGTTGTTCTGTCGGCAGCAAGATCTGACTGCTGGCACAGCAACGGATTCTATTGCAAATATAAATCTGTTTACAAAGGAGGCAGAGGAGGAAAGGTTCCAGGGCTTATGGAGCGAAGGAACTGGATGAGGCTGTCGGCAGGCCCAGAGGAAGGGAGAGAGGCTTTTGGAGGAGTTGGAGGTGGCGGCAGCCTGCTCCAGGGGTGAAAAGGAGCGAGGCCCCTTTAAGGAAAAGGTGGAGGAGATGTTCGCTCCCTAGAGACTAAAATGGACGATCTGAAACCTGAACTAGCCACGAACAAGGAGTATATATCGGAGGTGGTGGCCCTTCGATAGCTGTATGCAACAAAATTTCATTTTGATGTATGCCGATTGGTGTACATACAAAGTGACAATAAAGCTTGTTTATTATTGTTGTTGTTGTTGTTGTTAGTTCTCCTTTTGAAATCTGTATGTTCTACATTAAAATCCGAAGGAAGGAGTCTTTTGACATACCTTTGTATACTCTTTAACAAGAAGCCCAAGAGTATAAGCTATAGAGAAAGGGATTTTTTTTCTATCTGTTAGACTAATTGCCTCTTGATGTAATCCCTACAATCTTATTTTTACATGCTCTGTTATGAGATGTATGCTACTGAGAATTCTGAGGAGAAAGGAGCTTAAAACTCACACGAATGTAGCTATTTTTAATAAACTGCGGGCATAAAGTTAGTTTAATGAAAGCCTCTTGCTGGCCTCTAGGCTCCAACAATTTGTACACTTGGAAATGCTCAGTTTACATTCAACAGTTACAGAATATGGGCAGCCCAATTTCACCTGGAGTGATTATGATGTTATTGGCTTCCTTTATCATATCAACTGCACTGTCCATATTCACTTCTGTATGAGTGCCAGTAATTTCCATTGGCTTCCCACCAGCAGTTGAAGTAGTACCATATCCTCCAAGAATCACATTAGCAAGAGAGCGATTCATAGCCTAAGGGAGCAAAAATAAAGCATAACTGGGTGTTTTGAATAAGTTGACATTTAAAACCAAGCACAATGGACACAATTCCACAAAGCAATTATTTCAGCAAAGTGTGCTTTTTTGGTAATGTCCTCCCTTCATCCCACTCCAAGTTTTGATTTTTCATAATATTCCAACCTCAAGATGATGCAATTATGCAAATACCAAACATAATTCTACCTAAAGGCATTGGAAGATATCAAAGGTCTTTCTTTGGAGAAATAAGAAAAAAGAAAAGAAGGCAGAACAGACTCGAATAGATAAAAAAAATTAAGAGGATTACTGAAAAAAGCATTAAGGTCAATGCATTTACTGTTTTCATGATATAAAAATAATATTATTTTTAAAAATATTTATTTAAAAAGGCGGGGAAGAGAAAGCAGTACCATCATCACGTAGAGATTATTAAATCTCCACAATCAGTTTTACTAGGCATTTTGTTTCTAGGAACTCATTTATGTAGATTTATCGACATCTAGTGGCCGTCAATTGAAAGAAAAGAAAACTGTAAGTTAAAAGGTGAAACTTTTTAGCAACTTGTCTACAAGAAATGGCCTGTGTTTATGTGTAATTCACAGATACCATGTTTCCAACATTATTTTAACCTATATGTGTGTCTTCTTACCAAATGTGTAATTAAAAAATGTAAGCAGGTACACAGAAAATTAGAATGCATCCAATATTAGACAGTTAAGAAAAAGAAGTACAGCAGCTGAGGAATAACAATATTATACTAACAATTCCCCAAATTTCTGATATTATAGTATTTAATCAAACTGCTGCCCAGTTTATTTTTATACTCAGGAAATAGAATTGACTCAGATGTTATTAGATAGTGACGTGAACATATGCGCTATCTAATAACATTTCAATCAGCTGTTTCCTAAGGAAATATAGAAATATTAGAGTGTTATGGTATTGCTTGAAGCCATGTGAACTGATTCACTGCACAAATCGTTTAGATGAGGTAAAATCAAACTAGTCGGGAGCTACCAAAGAGTTGGCCATCTGCCAAACAACCCAATAGTGGAGTAGTTTTTCTGCCATCAGGAAGACCTAATACAGCTTCTTTCTGATTGCTACTCCTGCTTTAGCGCCCATTCATATTCACTCCTGATCTTGCACCACCATCACTTAAGCTCCTACTCTTGTGCTTTATCATTTGCAATCATTTCTTAAACTACAATGTGCTCTTGGTGTCAATATGAGCTTCTATCTCAAGTCCCTATGAGATTTCAGACCTAGAAGACTTCAGTATTCCATATATTTAGTTTGGATGCCTCTGCTGGAATGGCCACAATATGCCTTAAATATCTTGGCCCAAACAGAGAAAGGGAAACACATGCAAACACTGCCATATAAAAATTGAAAAAGCAACAAAATAATAAGAAACAAGATAACTTAAATCTCACAATACTAAAAAACACAGCCAATCACACTCCTATTAAATCTTTTTTTTAATATACCAGGCAATTGCACAAAATGTCTGGCTAGCCTCTTGTCCCAGCCCTCTTCGTCCATCCTACCATTCCTACCACCTATGCCAGGCTTTTACCCAGGGACTGCACCAGCATCCTCACTACCATCCAAAGCCTGGCAAAAGAGAGAGGCCTTTTGCTTCTCAAAGGAGCAAACCAGAAAGGCAAAGTTATTTGGTGCTCTTCCTTCAAGATCAACACATCCTGGAATTGGCCTGGAACCTGCTTTTGGTTTGGACTAAATTTCCACCCAATCTTTCAAAGGCCTGGGCAAGGGCTTTTATTTATCAGGTCTCAGATAAAAATGATTTAATGACTTGTTTGATTACGACAATACAATTTTTCAACTAACAGATAGAATTTTGTGACGATGATGATATTTGTGATAATTAAGAAACTGTGTAGACCTTGGCTCTTTTATGACCCGTGGACTTCAACTCCCAGAACTCCTGAGCCAGCACAGCTGGCTCCGGAATTCTGGGAGTTGAAGTCCATGAGTCATAAAAGAGCCAAGGTTGACTACCCCTGGCTGTAGACTTTCTGTGAATATATTACAATAACAGATTGTTAATAGAGTGCTTTGAAATTTAACTTCGCTGTTGTTTACCCTGTTAACTATTTTTTTATTTTCATATATGTAAGGTATGACAGGTCAATTGGGTTGTAAATAGATGTACAAGCTCGTAAATGTTGGACCTACTTTGCAAAGGGGGAAGCTATTGTTGCTGCAATAGATTTATCAGTGACCAGTTAAGGGGGGATAATATGTGTTTTTGCCTGTTGCTTTTTTAAATTCACTTTTTAAATGTTTTTGTATAGCTTTGTTTTGTCCCTGTTTAATTTTGGATTTTATATACGCCCAGAAAAAGAACAAAATATGTAATAAAAAGATTTTCTCACAGACAGAGAAAGAATAATAAAACAGTGTTGGAATGGACATTTCCAAAATCTCCTTACCACACACATGATATGAGACAGGATGGCACCAGAAAAACCAATCAGGGCACCCACAATGGTTAATAAATTGTTGTTAAGCAGGAATCCTTCAGCACAGAGTGCCCAGCCGGAATAGCTGTTTAAGACAGTAATAACAACAGGCATGTCAGCCCCCCCAATGGCTGCTGTCAGAGTAACTCCCTGCGGAAAGGAAACAAAGACAGAATTGAAAAATTAATGCAGACAGTATTATTAGCTCAAAACATTTCTAAATAGAATCCGGAGCCTACAGACATACTCTTACTTTAAAACAAAATCCACAGAAATGTTTATATATACCAAATGTGGCATCAAAATAAAGCAAAATTTAAATGATTATACACACAATGCTCTACTTATCAACAGGTGGTATTCCAAGAGACAGTTTGTAAGTCCATGAAGCATAAAAAAACATGCATAGTAAAATTCTTACTTTACAGTATGCAAACTGATCTGTGGACAATGAAATCTGGAGAAGGATTAGGTTCCAGCACACTGCTTACATTAGCGGTGTGCCAGAAACTAACCCCTTTTCATCTTCTACTGACTTCCAGGGCCTTCTAGGTTACAGCTGTGGACAGGTTTGTTCATATTGGCAAAAGTTTGTAACTTGGAAGTTTGTAAGTAATGTCTGTATATCTCTGAATGTAGTTTTCATTAATACAGAAATTCCTTGACTTATGACCTCAGTAGGGACCAGAAAATTCATTGTAAAGCAGTGCAGTCTTTAAGTAAGACATCACATTACCACAACTTGTGACATCTCCTATCAGTTCTCCAATGACTTTGCTTGTTGGAAGCCAGTTGAGAAAGTTACAAATGGTAATCAATGTGAGAGTGGGATACTGTGACCACATAAACGCACAATGATTGTCAACTGTGTTGATCACATGTCTACAGGGATGCTGCAACAGTCATTAAGTGTAAGGACTAATTGTAAGTCATTGTTTTCAGTACTGCTATAACTCTGAACACTCACTAAACAAATGTCAAAATCATAAATGATCATAAGTCGATGACTCTCTGTATTCATAATTAGGCTTTTAATATATCCATCAGGGGAGCCTAAAAGAATTCCACCTAACATTATTCAATACTTTTCCTCTTTATAAAGAACTCTGCATAAACTCTGCATATCCTTGAAGCCAGCTTTAACCTCAAAAGGAAGCCTCCAGATGTGTTGGGCTGCAATTTCACGAATTTCTAGCCATCTTAGACTATAGTTATACCAGCCAATTAACATTTCTGGAAATTTTAACAAACAGGAAGGGTCATGATTAGAGAAATCTGCTTAAGTCATAAGGTCAGAGTTGAAGAGAATTTTTGCATGCAAATCTCCAGGGATACCTGGAACTGGAACTTCCCCAATAAATTCCCAGCTTTAAACAGATTGTTTTTCTTAATCAGTAATTGAAAATATATCCATCCCAGGAATTCTAGTCTTATCCTTTAAATAAAACCCAGCTCTTTAATGATGACTTTCATTTCCTTTCTCTATCAATATCTGGTCCCTGTTACATAAGCTTTGTTTTCCATAGTTTTGTTTCCCATGCTATTATTTTTGCTATCATTCTCTGAAATGATTTCTGAATTTATATATATTTATATTTATACACACTAACACAAAAGTCTTTAAAAATGTCTCCACTGAAGATGTATCATCTTAATTCTTATTTATGTCTCCTTTTCATTAAAAAGTTCTTTAGAATTCTCTGTACTCAAAAGGACTGATCGGGTTATTTACCACACCCAGTGAAAATTTGGAATATCTCACTCACTATCTATGAGTTATTATAAATTCATGCTTACCATTACAGCAGACAGGGCAGACACAGATCCTAAGCAAGTCAACCCTGTTGTGTAACTTGGATCCATCATGTACGGAACCATTCCACCTATGCTTAATGTTAACAAACCAGCATTCAGTAAATGTCGTCCTGGTAAGAGGAGTGGGGCAGAATTCAGCATACCTAGAAATATGAAAATAATTTAATTTAAATTCTGGAACTAATCAGACGCAGCAAAACAAGTCAGGATGAGTCCCACAGACCCAATATTGGGTCTCTTTTTTCCTCTGTCATATTAACAAAACTACATCTTATACTTAACAATTCACATGGACCAGATACTTGGCTAAACATTTTTTTCTACTATTTATCATTCCATGATTTCAGTGATATGGGCCTTATAAAACAGAATGCAAAGCTGATAAGAGGTTCAACCAAAACAGCTGAACTTATGACCAACCTTTATTTATTTACTAGATTTATATCCTCCAGGAGCTCAAGGTTTGTTTTCCTTCCATTTTAGTCCTCCAATAATCCTACTCAGTATTGTAGACAGAGAGCATGAGACTGGAAAGTGTCTACAGGCTCAGAAGACTGCCCTCCTAAGGAAATCTAAAATCTTGTAGTTTAATTAAAACAAATGCTAGGACTTGGGTACCATAAGTATTGCCTGCATTAATACTTTGTATTTTGCACAAATGCATAAGAAAAACTTTCCCAAGTATTTCTGTTCAATTTGCAGATGTTTCTCAGATGATCAGCACAATGCTCACTGTGTAAGTATTTGGCCTCTACCCCATCTAGTTCTAACTTGTCAATTATTAAGCAAAACATGGTTCTCTCTGATATATTAGTTTTCCATATGCAGCATATTTTGAAGCATGTGAAGGAACAGCAGAATTCATACCTGACACCATAAAGCCCATATATGGACCAACTACAGTTTTTTCCAATGGAATGATCTTCACACACACTCTAATGTTGGCAGATAATTACAGTATTTGAAATCTAATGTCTTTAGAGTCACCAAGCTGTGAAAGATTGAGTTTAGCATCTTAGCACAATTTAAGACAAAGTAAATAGATACTGAATACATGTCATGCACGCACACATACACACACTTATTAAAAAAGAGCACACTATGGAAGAAAAAGGGGAAATTACCCTGTAGTTTTCCATAAGCAACAAGAGAGCCACTAAAGGTTACACCTCCTATGTATGTGCCAAGATAGGCCACAATTTTTGTGAGGCTTGCAGCTGGATCAGTTGCAAAATGGGGAAATTCAATCATGTACTCTGCTACACAAGTGAGAACAGCAGCCAAGCCAACCAAGCTATGGAAAGCAGCCACTAGCTGAGGTAAATCTGAAATCTGGATACGTTTAGCAATTGTCAGACCTGCAGAAACAAAAAACAGTTGCATGTTAACTGTGAAAGGGGATAACATTGCTCAACAATTCAGATCAGAGTACACACCATAGGAACAACTGCTTCTTCAACATCAGCATGACTTGTGATCTCTGTTACTGGCATTTTGTGCTTTAATTATATTATATTATATATTTAATCAGAAATATATTCTGAGGAATATATCAGTATCTAAACATAAAAAGCTAAAGAGCAGGTTTATATGACATTCTAACAGTCCTATAACTTTTTCCAAGTAGATCTACTTTCCCATCACCTAACTGCAGATGCCACAACAGAATTAGATAAGTCTTTCAAATCATGCAATCCTTTTGCTTTGCACTTACCTATGGTGCCACCAAGGGCCATCGCACCCGACATCTGGGCCAGAAGCTCAACTGATGGTTTTAGACTTCCCAGGGTAGCTGCCAAACCTCCAGCAACACCTATCATACCCAAAGCATTGCCAAGTCGAGCTGTTCCTTGGGTAGAAAGGCCAGCCAGAGCACCAACACAGCACAATCCTGAACCCAGGTACATCATCTTTAAAAGATGAAAATAATATAGACATATTTTTTACAAAGGAGTTAAAATTGTTGATTTGACGGGGATACAAAGCACTGTTTAGTTGGGTTTCAAAATCCTCACAGCAGATACTGCCCATGCCGCTTTCTCTACAAATATATTTCTGCCCAACTGAGATTTTGAGCAAATCTGGCAGTTTGCCATGGAGTAGGCTAATGCCAAAAGGAAATTTGTTCTGCCTGTTCCAAATTGTTGCAATATCATCAGCACCAAGAAAAGGCAGAACTGATTATATAATTTATATAGAAGGCCTCTGTCAATATAATAATAACAACAACAACAACAACAACAATTAAAAACACCATCAAACATCCAGATCTGCCTATCCCAGGTCCTTGGTAAGGACTCAATAGGTAGACAAAAATGCCAAATCCAATCAGTCTGAACATCTGGCTGATTGTGCAATGATATTATTATTAATATTATTATTATTATTATTATTATTATTAATAATAATAATAATAATAATAATAATAATAATGAGGAGGATGTATTAATGATGATGATGATGATGATAGTAGTAGTAGTAGTAGTAATAATAATAATAATAACAACAACAAACATCAAACATCAAACATCCAGATCGATAGGTAGACAAAAATGCCAAATCCAGTCAGAACATCTGGCTGACTGTGCGATTAATAATGATAATGATAATACTGATAATGATAATAGAGTTGGAAGGTCTTCTAGCCCAACCTTCTGCTCAGGCAGGAAACCCTATACCAGGAGTTTTCAAACTTGGCCCTTTTATGACTTGTGGACTTCAACTCCCAGAATTCCTCAGTTGAAGTTCATAAGTCATAAAAGGGCCAAGTTTGAAGACCTATACCATTTCAGACAAATCAACATAATAAGTGTTACATCAAGATTGGCTACAAAGGAAAAGAAATATGCTCGTTAGTGATCACAGTTTTTTTTTTAGTATCAATACCGTTTTTGCCTTTGCTAGAAGATCAGGAACTGAAAAAGAGTGTGCTCTGCTCAATGGATGCTGTCATTGGGATAGTGCAGGTGCTAATTTGATTTGGGGATAAAGAAATATACTAGGAAATGCGTACTTCCTTCTGTACAACTTCACCTTCAAGCCAGGTCCCTATCTAAACCAACACAAACCATGGTTAAGGTTAACCAAGATTTCCTTTTAACCTGAAAATCTTCTCTGAAGATGATTTCTGATATTCAGGCGTAGTAACAGCAGATTTCTGAAACAGGACTGGAATTGCTACAAGGAGTATAAGAACTTCTGAGGTTACCAGCTTCCAGTTCTGTCAAGTGAGGTCATTATCATTCCAGCATTAACATAGGAAATGAAGTTTTTGAAAATAAATATATTCTTAAGATAGCTTTCTTCTTTCTTCCTACCAAGATTATACCAAGAAGTTATATTTCGCTAGCTATATCGTTGTGACATGGCTACTAATTTTGTAACTATTATATTGGACACTGCCATTTCCAATTTCATCGCAGCAAAGAAAACAATAGCTGGTCTTAAGTAAAATGCTATTTAGTGTTTTACTTAAAACACATATCAAAACAAAACACACAAATTATCATCAGCCTCCAATCCATTTGCAAGGATACGGTTCTTGCAAGTCCTCAACTTACAACCACAATTGGCACCAGGACTTCTGTCACTAAGCAAGGTGATCGTTAAATTGATTTAAGTGATTTTGCAAGCTTTTTGTTGTAGTAATTAAGTGAATCACATGGTAATTAAGCAATTTGGGCTTTCTCCACTGATTGCTTGTAAATCTGTGTCTTTTGCAATAAAGATCAAATCACACACACACACACACACACACACACACACCAGAGCATTGCAACCAACATAAATACATGCTAGTTGCCAAGTGCCTGAATTTTTATAATGTGATTTTGGGGATGCTACAATGGTCGGAAATGTGAAAACAGGTTGTAACGTAGAGATGGGAAGGTCTGGAAAAAAACTGGAAAAATTAGGGGGGGGAAACAGGGTGGGTTTTTTTTTTCAATTTTTCTAGTTTTTTTACAAGCCTTCCCCCCCCCCAAAAAAACGTGTTTTTGTTCATTTTTTCCCAAATGGCTTTGGGGGAAAGGGGGGCAAAGGGGGGGGGAAATCCCTGGTTTTTTCCCCCAATTTTTCCGGGTTTTTTTCCAGGCCTTCCCATCTCTAGTTGTAAGTCACTTGTTTCAGCACTACTGTAACTTTGAATGTTTACTAAAAAATGCTTGTAAGTCAAAGACTATCAGTACTTATATATGAGGTACTATAAACGTTGTTTTTCCTCCACACGTGCTAGGCTCCCTTTTCATCCTAGCGAGCGTAGAAAGACATAAGACAAGAGTAAGATGGACTACATCTTAGCAAATCAGCATCATGTGGCCTTTAATAACCTGTTCACAAGACTGTAGACTTGTATACAAAAATGGGTCTATGGATGCCTGAGCAATCTTCGTACCTGTTCAATGTTATAACCACTTTGCAGTGCTGTTCCATATCCTCCTATAAACAAAGCAGCAGGCAACAAATACAAATAGTTGAATTCAGGAGGGTCAGTAGGGCGCTTGAACATATCCAGCATTCTCTGAGTGACCAGGAAACCACCTATGCCACAAAAAATAATAAAAAATAATAATAATTAGATTCTGAAAACTAAGAAGTGCTTTAAGACATGTATGTGTTATAGTGAATCCACAAATTCAATTAAATAGGAAATTGTCAGTCTTCTCTATGAAGGACTATTATCTGGCTATGCAACATTTTGATGCAGGCAAGAAAAGCAAGGAATAATGCAGAACAATTACTATTTTGGAACATTTGAAGTATGCCATCAATTACATGAAAATACTGGAGTAGCTTTGGCTTCAAGAAACCTTTAAGCTGAGAATTATTGGAAAACCTTGTGGCACTGGCCAGAAATTATACAAAAAAACATGCAAAGAAGCCAGGTCAGATCCAGAATGGAAGATATTCCATTTACAACATCTGGTGAATTTTGTTGCTATCGCCCAAAAGCTTCAAACTCACTTTGTTTTCTGGACTCTCTCAAGCTCTCCAAGCACCCATGAAAATTGTACCTTTTGAGTTATTCTACTCAGCACCACTTCCGAAAACACAGGTTTCCTAAAGATAGGAAGTAGGAAAGCTAGGAACTGCTTGGTACCTGCAATGTTGATAGAGGAAATAAAAGCAGCAAGAACAGCAAGGCCCTGAGGTAGAGTTCCAGGTAAGTATTGCCCTCCCATCAGTGCTAATCCGCCAACAGCAGTCAGTCCTATTGAAAAAGAAAAACATCAACAGCACTGAGATCCTTGTAGCAAAAGGGAAGCGCTTCTGTTTGCAAGATGTAATTCTGATTATCCTGACTAATTAGTACCAGCATATCCTCCACAAAATGCATTTTAAGTCTTTAATTACATAGGTGGACCCCTCATGGTACTGATGCCAAAGTATGTTCTTTCGCTTCCTCATATCCTTTCTCATGATTTGTAGCGTCTCTCCTTTGCTTTCCATTCCTGTTATAAAAGTTCTTGTACTTTGGGAAGGGAGCTTTGTGGGGTCTACTGCTGTCCCAACAGATCAAAAGAACCCTCCCCAAAGCATTACTAAATTTAGCCTTAACCTCACTTTAACCATATCCTTTATAAACACTACATAAAATTCAATGTAATTGAACAAAGAATGCCTAGATCAAAATTATTTCTTTGTATTTCTTTGCTATATTCAGGTAGTCCTTGACTTACAACCATTCATTTATAGTTGGTTCAAAGTTACAATGACACTGAAAAGAGGGATTGACAACGAGCCTTTCCACCTACGTCTGTCACAACATCCCCTCGGTCACATGATCAAAATTTGGCTGCTTGGATGTTTGCGGCATCTGGCTGTCATCTGATCGCCATTTGCAATCTTCCCAGTCGCCTTCTGACAAGCAAAGCCAATGGGGGAAGCCGTATTTGCCTAAAGACTGCACAATTCACTTAACAATTACAGTGATTCCCTAAATGAACCCTCCTGTGGCAAAAAGATCATAAAACCAGACACAACTCACTTAACAACCTCCTTGCTTAGCAACAGGAATACTGGTGCTAATTCTGGTTACAGGCCAAGGACTACCTGTATTTATTTGCTATACATAGTCTAAAGTCTTAATTTTGTACTTTCAGATCTTTTCACGGATTAGGAACATGCAACAGACTTTTCTCTACCACACCTTTTTTTTAAGAATGCCTGCAGCTAGTCAAAAAAGGTTATCAAATTAAGAAATGTGTGGCATACAAACATCTATCCAATGCATTCTTTATTATGGAAATCTATGCTGTATTGCTACATCGAGCAAAACAGAAAGGTCCTTGGAGAAAATATGCAGAGGCTATTAGACAAAAGATGAACTCAGTCCAGGAAAGTCAAACAAAATGAGAAAGAAGTTAAAACTGCTCGGGTTTTAGGAGGGAGAGAAGAGAAAATATTGTTACCTTTCAAAAGATTGTTACACCAGGGGTGTCAAACTCAATTTCATTGAAGGCCGCATCAGCACTGCGGTTGCCCTTGGGGGGCCGGGTGGGTGTGGCCAGGGTGGGTGTGGCCTACTGGGTGGGCGTGGATGGAATGGGTGTGGCCTACTGGGCAGGTATGGCCAGCTCTACATCATTCACATCAAGGGTGCCTGTGGAGGCCTGAGCAGGAGTGGGACAAATCTGAGGGTCTCTGGCAGAAGGGGGTAGGACCAGGACAAGTGCCAAGGCATGGTCCACTGGAGGAGCCTCACTGTTCCTTTCAGGCCATGCGGGAGGGGCTGGATGGTGGCGCAGGTTTCCCAGAGCCCTGGGAAGCAGAGGTCAAATGCCCAGCCTGGTCCTCGAGCACTCGCGGCACCAAGCCCAGCCCCACTTCCCCAAGGGGGCACCCAGCTGCACTTACCTCCTCCTCAAGGCTGCTGCTGCTGTGCTTGCTCTCCTTAGCCAGGTTGCTCATGATGGATATGAGGGCAAAGTCAGAGGGAGGCCCACTCTTCTCCAGGGGAGGAGAGCCGGCTTTGTATCCAAAGCTTCCTTAGCAATAGAATGGGAGACCCCAGGATAGGCCAGGAGGAGGGGGCAAGGGGATAGTGAAAGGGCAGTAGGGCAGGACTAAGGCAGGACTTCCCTAAGACCCTCCCTCTCCTTTGTTCCTTCTTTCCTTCCTAAGTACAGAGTGGTGGAAAAATATTTGAGAGGAGGGAGAAAAACAGGCAAGAAACGCAGCTGGAGAGGTATCACCCTTCGTGAGGAATGAAGAAATGCACCATCGCCTGGAAGTTGCCAGCACATGGCCATCACCTACTTCACATATCTGGCTTGGTGGGCTCTGGGGGAGAGGATGCCATGAACAGCGTAAGAGTCAACGTTACCTGTGCAATGCCGCCCAGCCCCCAGTCTGCCTGGTTTTGGCAGGCAGCAAGGTACTCTCCTGACAGCACCGAGAGGCTGAGCCAGGTGGCGCGAATCTGAAAAGAAGCGTGACGCCGCCCAGCCCCCAGCCTGCCTGGTCTCAGTAGGCAGCACGGCGCTCTCCTCACAGCACCGAGAGGTTGAGCCGGGAGGCGCGAAGCTCACCAGCTTTGCATCTTGCTGCCTGCTGAAACTGGGCAGGCTGGGGGCTAGGCATTGCACTTTTCATCAGATTCGCACCACCCAGCTCAGCTCTTGGCGCTGTGAGGAGAGCACCCTGCTGCCTGCTGAAACTGGGTATGCTGGGGGCTGGGCGGTGTCACGCTTCTTTTTGGATTTGCACCACCCAGCTCAGCTTCTTGGCACTGTGAGGAGAGCGCCCCGCTGTAGGCCAAAACTGGGCAGGCTGGGGGCATCATGCTTCTTTTTGGATTTGCACCACCCAGCTCAGTCTCTCGGTGCTGTGAGGAGAGTGCCCCGCTGTCTGCCGAAACCCCTCCCCCAGAGCCCATCAAGCCAGATATGTGAAGTAGGCGAGGGCCATTTGCTGGCCACTTCCATGCGATGGTGCATTTCTTCATTCCTCACAAAGGGTGACACCTCCCCAGCATGCAGCCAGGGGGCGGCATGCTGGGGAGGTGTTTCCAGATGGCCTTGTGGAGCTAAGACTGAATACGTTTCAGCATAGATGGCCACCACAAAATTGTATATTAGCTCCCGGCTGGCCTGGGCCAGGGCCAAGGCAACAGGGGCCGTTCCCTCACTGTTTCCAGGATGGCTTCGCGGGCCACATGAAACCACTTTACAGGCCGCATCTGGCCCCCGGGCCTTGTGTTTGACATGTCTGTGTTACACTATTAGCCATTTCTTATTCTGTCTTTATTTTATATATATATATATATATAAATAATTCAAGGCAGCAAACATATCTACTATTCCTTCCTCCTATTTTCCACACATCAATGGGTTGAACTGAGAGTGATTGGCCCAAAGTCACCCAGCCAGTTTTCATATCTAAGCCAGGACTAGAACTCCGTTTCCATGCCTGGCCTACTCAAAGGGATGATAATTCAAAAGTTATCATGATGTTTTGGCAACATCTTGGCCAATCAGAAGTTGGAACTTGGCATAGTCCTTCAACATTAAATATGACTCAGGAGCAACCATGGGTGGAATGCAGAGTTAGAAGCTTATTAGTAAATATGGCAATCCATCTTTTGGACTAAATAAGGACTGATACAAAGCTTTTAATTATGTGGTCTGCTTCTCAAGTGATAATCTTTGCCATAAACAGTGCAAAAATTAACTTTGGGAGACTTAACACTTCTAGGAGATAGGCTTTGAAAGTTCTGCAGTACATCTACACATATTTAGGAACTGTATTGATAGGTTTTGTTCATTACTGGTTGACTACAAGAGCAAATCATAGATAAGATGAAGTAGGTCTAGATTATCTTTTCTGTCCTGATGTACTCCAGGTGTTTTGGACTTTGATTCTAGTATGTTTGGCAATACGCATAGTGGCAGTGCTACAATGAATATAGAACTTGAAGCCCAACATCTGGATGCTCCAGATTGGAGAAGACTGTAATAACTGTAATATGTAATAACGTATATATAAAATATATAACTTATATTTTAAAGACATTATAGCACTCACTCTAATGGCAAAAATAGGTAAGGAAAGTCAAACTTTGAGCTTCAGAATACAGAAAGTATGAACTGCTATCAACTGCACCCTCAAATAGACAATCGTAATTAACACATAACTCAGATACACACTAGTTCCATTCACATATTTTCATTTTTAATGTATAAAAATTTTCCTCAATCACAGGAGAGTAAGAACAGAAATATTAATGTTCAAAAGAAGCATCTGCACCAAATGTACCTGCTTCTGGATCAAGAGGTCCTTCAGACCCACATGTGCTAGCCACCTCATCCTTTATATCATAATGCACTGTGTATGGAGCTGCCCTTGAGCTCAGAAACTTCAACTGATCCAGAACACAGCACAGCAAATTATGCCTTCTGTTTTACAAGCCATACTGGTTGCCATCTTGGTTCCAGATGTGGTTCAAGGTGTTGGTTATGGCCAATAAAGCCCTACATGGCATAAGGCCCGTTACTTGAGGGACTGCCTAGCTGCCAAAATATTTGTCCAGTTAATTTCAGCTGACAGGGTTGGTATACTTCAGGTTCTTTTGATTAATCAGACCCAGGAAGCATGTCTTCTCAACTGCAGTGCCTGCCCTCTGGAATACGATTACCTCTGAAATCCATGTGGCTTTCACCCTGTTGGCATTCTAGAGGGATAAAGATCTGGTTGATATCCCAAGCCTTGGCCTAGGCTGGCTCAACACTCTGCTGCCTATTGGAAGTTGTGGAATGTTTGGGTTGTTACTGAATTTTCTAGCTTCTTCTTTGCTAGGTCTTGTTTTTGTTATACAGTATGTCTGTTTTTATTCTAGCCACCCAGAATCTCCTCAGTCGGGTAGTACCAAATTGAATAAATAAAGTCATAGTTGTACCTGAGATGGCATTAGTCACTGACATGAGTGGTGAATGGAGTGCAGGAGTCACACCCCATACAGTATGGTATCCAACAATCCCAGCCAAACCAAAGGTTGTCACCATCTGAGTGAAAGCTGAATTGGGAGAGGCAATACCCAGCCCAAGCACGCTAGCAATTCCTGCAAAACAAAACAAAAAAATCAGTCTTTTGGAATACTGTCATCACCTCCCTGTGAATGGAGGCTAAGATGACCATGGTTTGTTTCAGGTAGGCAGTGATAGAGGCAGAATGTATATACTAACTGGCTGGCAACCTATGGAAAACAGCTCCCTTAAACCGTTAATTGTGTGTTCTCATTAGAGACAGCCCATTCAATTTTGCATCGGTTTCCACAGCCTTGTCTAACACAGCCCTGAATAAATGAGGTCACCACCCAAGTAAGAGTGCCAAAGGTATGACTCAAAGGGGTTTATCCCCTCAATAGACACTTGTTAGAAAGCATCTAGGTGAAGGGTACACCCTTCACTCTTTACTTATGCTAGAAGAAGTCTGGAGATAGGGATCTGAACTACAATGGCCTGATGTTAAGAACTGTCCCAGGAAAATGTAGGTGAATGGAAAAGAAAAAATGGCCAGGGAACAAACACTGAAGCAAGAAAGAGCAGAGGGGCCTATGGTGCAACTTAGCAGTTGCAAGGAGAAAAATGACAGTTTGTAGTATAGTTAGAAAATGATAGCATACAAGGCATTCCCTTGTACCTTGTAAAATTCCACCTAAGTCAACGCTATGAACTAGGAGTTAATCCTGGATGAAAATGCTGATATACTGTAAATCACCAAGTCTTAGCTGAACTAATATATAGGAGAAGAGTCAATTTCTCTCTCTGTCTACTTCTGTCTGCCAAGATTAGATGGTAAAGAGTGTGGTCTACAGGAATTCTATATTGCTCAACAGATGTCCCATTTGACAGTTTGCCAGCTTTAAGGTCACGCTACTGGATTTGAATGACTGAGTCTGTCATCTTGGATTGTCTAACTCAGGCATGTCAAACTGCCAGCAATGCATCATACTGAAACCGCGCCCACCCCATTGCCAGCAATGGGGGAAAAAATCACCATATGTTGCACGACGTCACGTGACGTTGCGAGTTTGACATGCCTGGTCTAACTCCAAGAATTCTCCAGCCAACATGATCTCTGAAAAAAATTCTGGGAATTGATATCCACACATCTGAATCATGGCAAAAATAAAGAAAGTTGCGTTTTCTTGGATTGGGCAAGTCCAGCCCTTAACTGTGTCAGCAAATTCCAGAAAAGCCGAAGAGTAGCACTCATTTCTCACCTGCTGTATAGGCAGAAGCAGAGGTCATTGTTTTCCTAAAAGGTGTAATAGTAGCAGCTTTCTCTGCTTTTAGCTCTGCCACTGTCTTCTGCTTCACAGGTGCTGCCTGAGGAATGTTCTTAGGAGGTGGTGCTGGGAAAATCACTTTCCCATCCTAAGAAGAAAGAAGAACTAAAGACTTAATTAAAAGATCAAGTGATTTATATTAATGATTCAAAAACCACAGTCTCTGAGTCAACGAAACCTTCCAGAGGCCCTGTTACCTTCAAAGTTGCAATAGAAAAACAAAAAGGGAAATATAAAGGGAGCGGTGACTTTGATATCTAGATGGTTTTTCTTCTTTTTGATTAAGTTAAAGCAGTCTTTGGCAACAGGGCACCCTGAAAATGCTTCAATTCCTATACTCCTTCAAAACTACTGACTAGGATAGTCCCACCAGGCTGGATAAATTAAGGTAACTGACAAAGCAATAGACAAGGCAATTTGTCTTTTGGGAAGGAATTCTAAAGTACATTTGCGGAAGACAATACATTGACTCCTAGTCTGTTGAATCTGGTTGGCAGAAAGTAAATCAACTTCACGGTTGTAGCAATTTCAGGCTGATGTTATGGGGGTGTCACAGGAATGAAGAGACTTTGGATCCAGGGCTTTCAATGTACATTTTTCCCACCAGTACTAGTGGCAGCTTCTCATGGGTATTTCAGTCGACTGTCAATATTATAGGTATCATACTTGGGCATCCTAAAGATCTTCCTCTCCATGGGCAGAGTGGCACTTAGGTTTCCCAATTAAACTTTAATCACTTTCATCATAGCAGCCATATATTTTTCTCATTAATTTTGTCTAATACCCAGATGCACACAGATTTTCTTTGCCTTCCATGTCCGAACTCTTTATGTCGGTCATATCCTTGGGCCTTCTTTTTCTTATTCAATTGAGTTAAAAGGGAAGGAGAAATATGTAACTAAAAATGTTGAATGGGAAATTCCCTGTCGCCAATTTTACTTGGTCATCATGTATATTTATTGTTTTATTTTTACATGTTTACCGTGTATGCTGCCCAAAGTCATTTGAGATGTGTGGCTACAGAAATCAAAATAAATAAATAAAAGTTATAACGACCGCCTAAAAGGGATTTTTCAAGCATAAAAACTAGCAATCCATATTTTAATCCTTCTGAAGTCAAAGATCCTAACCAAATAGCATATCAACAACATTCATTAACAATATTAATTTTACAATAATAAATGAAAAATAAGCTACTTTCCAATATGGGAATGACTATATTTCACTCACAGGAAATTCAAATGCAGAGCTACAAACAACATTACTTAAATAAAATATACATCTCAGCTTCAGGGGAAAAAAAGAGCCCCTTTACCTTCATTACCACTGTTCCTCTAACAACGTGGTCAAGAGTACCATAATCAAATTCATCCTTTATGTTAAAGTAAAAGTTTTCTTTGTCTGGGCTGATGGCTTTCAAGAGCTTTGTGATGTTATTTGAATACAAGGTACTAGCTTGCGTTGCCATTCTGCTGGGCAGGTCTGTGTAACCTATATGCGTGATCCCCTGTAGACAACAAAAATATAGATGAAAGAACATAAGAAAGTGCTTTATGCCAAGTCAGATTCTTTATCTACTTTGTCCAATATTGTTGCTGCTGCCTGGGGCCAATTTTTCAGGGTTACAGGCCTAACATATCTAACTTTTCCAGAAGATACTAAAGTTCTACATGCCCTTTGTCATGTATTTGTACATATGATTAAATAAACTTAGAAATAATTTGTGGGAAGAAAAGGAAAAAGAAAATCCCTTTCTTCAAAATCTAAATCTAGTCATGACATAAATGTTGACATAAATAAAGCAACTGTTTTCCTATTAACTTTTTGAAAGCAATTTCTGAGTTTATACGGGGCATCTTCCATGTCGATGGGCCGACCTTGATTAACAAATATAAGGGTTAAGGTGAGAAGCAGTGATTCTTAGGATGAAGGTGACTGTTAAGTAAACACAGTGCAACTTGGTTTCAAGGCCTCCAAGAACAACAAGTATCTATTATTTCAGAAAACCAGGAGGAAGAAGCTATTAAGTTGAAATACTGAAGCTATAAAAGGAATTTATATCTTCAGGCAATTAACTGTTGTGAATAGCTTTATTCTTGCTTACAATCAAGATTGTAATCTAGCCATGTCTGAAAGTCTTCTATCAAATCTAGTTTAGGAGCTCAATTAGGATACCTTGACATATTTTTTTAAACAAAAGAGTTATTCATTAAATTAGAAAAAACCTGAATTAACATACTTTGTGCTTTTATATTTTTATTTCATCTATTTTCATGGGCCTATTTATTTATAGCACAATTTATCTGAAAAAAGTACAAGGAAATAAAGGTAGTCCTCAACTCATAATGGCAATTGGGACCACAATTTCCATAGCTAAGCTTTATGCAATCATAAAGCATGACTGAATCGCTTAGTGAAGGCAACTGCTGCAGTCCCAGCTGTTGTTGTTAACTGACTCCCACAGTCCATTAGGTGAGGCAACTTCCTGCTGGCTTCCCACAATCAAATTGAGAAGGAAAGCCAGCTGGAAACTGCAAGTCCCAGACTGGTGGGTGTCAAGTGGAGGAGGAAGCAAAATGGTGCATGGAGGTGGGGAGAGATGCAGTGTGGCTCAGAGGGTGAGATGAGAATCAGGGAGAGTGTGGTGTGGGTTGGAAAGGGTGCCCAAGGGTACACTAAAGAGATGCATCACAGAAGGCATGCAAGGATGCAGCAAGGGTCAGGGACAGCACACAAAGCTATGACAGAGGTGGGCTGGGGAGGGTGGACAAAGATATGCAAGTGGCCAGCATCGTGTAAGTGCAGAGGGTCTGGGGGAGGAGGAATGGATTGGGGAAACTTAGCCCAGCAACCTGCAACTTCCCTGTTGACTTTCCCACTGACATTCTGGGGAAGCCGGCAAGGAAGGTTGCAAATGGTGATCATCTGATCACAGGGCACTGCAACCAATCATAAGAGTGAATCGATGACCACAGTGTGCTGGGACAGCTGGAACTCCAAGGACTGATCATAACCACCATTCACTGTCATAACTTTGAAAGACTGCTGAATGTAATGGTCATAGACTGAGGACAACTTGTTAGCAAACCCAAGTAGTTATATCGCATGTGTCTGCCCACGGAACACTAAATATATTAAACATTTTACCAATATTGACTAAAACAAATCAGTTGCACATTTGTTCCACTTAGCTGTGAGTAAACAAAGTAAGGAAACTTACTAAGTTTAAGTATGAGATAACTACCATATTCAGAATCCTAAATATTTGGAGACAAGAAATATTAGGAAATAACCACTTCACAGAGCACTATGTTGGAACAGTTAGGTTAGGAACTCTTTACTGTATACTTAAAAAGTACAGCTATAAAGAACCTGACAAAGCTACCTTGTGAACATAGAGTTCCTCTGGCTTCGTAGTTTCAATATTTCCCCCTGCTTCAGCAGCTAGATCTACAACCACTGACCCTTCCTTCATCAATTCAATCATATCTTTTCGAAAGAGGATCGGAGCTTTTTTACCTGAAAAGACAAAAAACAATATTCTAAAGTTGTAAGCTGTACTTAATAACCTGTTCTATCATTTTTCTCTAGATAAAAAGAACACTTAAGCTTTTTCAGTTCTGTAAATTTCCAGAGAATCTGTCTTACTTACATAAACTTATAGGTAGTCCTTGCCTTACAACTGGTCACTTAGTAACCATTTCAAGCTTCAAAAAACCTACCTGAGAGGTACTTATGGATTCAATGTGCCAACAGTCCCCACCAGTCATGTGACCTTATTTTGGGCACGTTACAGCATCATACAGTCAAATTACTGCATTTTATGATGGTTTTCTGGAAATTGGTATTTAGTTCTGCTTTTCAGTAATGTGGTGCCCATAGCGAACCGTTGGTTTGCTTAACAACCGCAGTGTTTGGTTAATGAGAGCGAGTTAACTTAATGATTATGGTGATTAACTGTAAAAAACTGTAAAAAAGACAACTCGCTTTATGACTGTCATGAGTTACGACTGTGATAGGCAGGCTCCATTATGTCATAACTCATGGACTACCTGTATAAACATGGAAGGGGCCATTTGGACCACAAATCTGCTACATAGTGCAAAACTCACCACCTTGTTGCGTACAAAAGTCATGTCAGTCACCATTCCAGAACTACAGTCAATAAATTCCTGGCCTTTAACTTACTTTCTTCAATATGAGTTGGAGCAAAGATTATTACTTCAGTCAAACATTCTAGAGAAAAACGAATGTATATACCGGGAATAAGTGCTGTTGTAATAATGATATCAACTTCTTCACACTGTTTAGCAAAGAGTTTCATTTCAGCTTCAATAAACTCTTTGGACATTTCTTTTGCATATCCTCCTTGGCCTTCTCCAGATTCCTTCATGTCAACTTCCAAAGGCTCAGCACCCAATGATTTAAACTGTTCTAATGCAGCAGCTCTGCCAAGTAGAAAATAAAGCAAACTCTTAATAACAAGGAAAAGGGCAAATAATATACAGAACATTAATACCAGAAATAATTCTATACAGGTGCCTTCAAACTAGAAAATCATATTCTCCCTTAAAAATGACCTCCAATAGAAGCTTGGGATGAATTCAGATGTGTAACTAAAGTGATGATGAGTTTGTCACATAAGAATTATTTCAGTACAGAGACAATGCCTGAAGTTACTTGCTTTCTTAATCTCACAGGGATGTAATAAAACTTGAAATTCTAGGCTGAGTTGTCACTTGGCTACACCTCCAGGTTCTGTCTCTTCTCCTACAGCTTTGCTTGAAACACAAACAGCTAGTCAGGTGCATGACTATATTAGTACCATTATAAACACAGAATTACTAGGTTACACAATAAAAAATGCAAGCATTCTTACAGGAACCACAATAGTAGCAACCCCACTTCATGAATGAGTTTGTATTTCAAAAAAAGTAAGTCAAGATGATATTCCTTTACTCCAAAATCTTATTATTAAGGTGTATCTCACAAAAATTTAAAAGCTTGAATTATTCCTTACACCATGTAGTATAGTGGTGCTCAGTCATGCAGCCTACTTGGGCTATTCAATAATTCTGAAAAAAAAGCCACAAAATTATTTTAAGAAGAAATGGAAATAAACTTTTTGCAAGCTGTTCTGATTGTCCTTGAGGAACAACAGAATGCAAGTGAATTATTAACTAATAAAATTTGATAACCATTTGGATGTAGTGGTTAAGACACCAGGCTAGAAACTGGGAGACTGTGAGTTCTAATCCCACCTTGGGCACAAAAGCAGCTGGGTAATCTTTGGCTAGTGACACCTTCTCAGACCCAGGAAGGTATCAACTGCAAACCACTTCTGAAAAACCTTGCCAAGAAAATTGCAGGGATTAATCCAGACAGTTGCCAGGAATCAACAGTGACAGGAAGGAACAAAATAAATAAATAAATATTTAAGATTCATATATGTCTACCTGGTATCAAATCCACGAACTACAGCTCCCATTGATTTAGCTGCTCCTGCAGATGCTAATCCAGCAACTCCACCTCCAATGATCAGAACCTACATCCAAGCAAAGAATTATAATAACTTATACCAATCTAAATTGCAAATACTAAATGGCTGGCATGAATCAACATAGAGTGAAGATATAGGATGGTTTTAAGTAGCACCCAACAGCACATGTTTGCCTAAGAACATAAAGCTTCTTGAAAAGAAAAATACTAGCCAATCAATAGTATTGAATATCAATTATCCAACCCTTAAGGATTTTGCTGGGGAAAAAAATAGCAATCAATACAAGTACTGTTGAATTTTCCCATAGTCGAATGTCTGATTTCCAGTTGATTACCCAGCTTCAGAAAACTTGAATGGTATTTAAAAATAAAGATTTCTGAAACAGTCATATGCCTCATTCTTCTGATTCCATACATGCAAACAATAAATAGCACTGGTTTAAAAATCTAATTTCTTCAGTCATATCTAGAAATGGCCTAAACAATTTCCATCGTACTCTTGTCAACTGCAAAGAATCGGGACCACACATTAAGTTCCAGTTGATTTATTGCTCAAGCCTATACACCAGAATCTAGTCAACTAACTGTCAGCACTAAATTGGCATTAGGCAAGAGTCAATGGGATTCCAGAGGAATTGGACTTGGAACATTTGTGGACATGTAACAAATCTAGGCTGAGTTGTCTCTTGACTACACCTCTAGGTTCTGTCTCTTCTCCTACAGCTTTGCTTGAAACACAAAGAGCTAGTCAGGTGCACGACTACATTAGTACCATTATAAACACAGAATTACTGGGTTACACAATAAAAAATGCAAGTATTCTTACAGGAACCACATTTTTTTCAAAATTACAAACATGTCTTTAAAAAAGAATTTAATGGAGGAAAAACCTTTTAAAAAGCCCAGTGCAGTTTGCAATTGTGGAACAATAATTAGGAGGAAAAAAGAAAGCAAGAAAGTAATCATACTGAATTGCTTTAATTCTGTAGAACATCACATCATGCTACCTTTCACTGTAACCCTGCATGCCTAATTTATCCTCCTCCTGCTTGACACGGAGAGAAAACATCACTTTTGATTGGGCTTATCTTTAGACTAAAGAGGTTTTGCCAGACTTTTTTTACAAATCTGAAGTTTATTTTTCATCACTATAAGGAATGAAAGCTTGACTTCAAAAGATTCTATCGGATGCTGAGTCACGCTTTCCATACTTGTTTGCAAGAAACTATTTGTGAAACCTGGAGAAGAATTTTCAGCATTCTTGGCAAGAATTATGTTATCATTAACAGATATCAGATAGTTTCTGAGTGCCAAGGTAACTAGTTTCTCTGTTAGCTGGGAAGAACGGAATTTACTCTTCTCCTCCTTCAGTAGAATTTGGAGGTACTGTCTGTACTTTTATAGTAATACTGAAGAACAGGGCAGCACATGACAAAATCATTTAATATTTTAAAACATAGTCCAGAATGGATGTAATTGTCTTCCACTTTGGAAGAAATAATGTAGAAAATCCAATACTAGCAGATTATATTTTGTATTGTAGTAATAGAACACAAATGTTACAAAAGATTGCATGGCTCTGTACAGGACTGCAATGAAACATATCACTTCAGAAAATTATTTCAGCTATGATGCTAATGACTGGACTAGTCATGTTATTTAGCCTGAAGTCAAGATTAAAATTACAGAATCATCCTATCCATAATAGCAGTTCATCAGACAAAGGTATTAACATGTAGAAATGACAGACATTTTACTATTTACCAGCAGCAGTAAGCCAGATTTTATATTAATTTTATAATCTGAATATCTTAAGCTTTAGTTTGAGAGACATTTGTAAGTTACTCATTATTCATTACAATTCAACAAATCACTGCCAACATCAAAAGAAATTACATTTGATTTATTAGGGAAAGGTTAAACAGAGTCTCTGGAGAAGAAAACTCACTAAAAGAGATTATAATCAGCATATGAAGGCACAAAGAGCATTGCTACCTGCTTATGATTGATTCATTACCCATTTTTCCCACACATACCTTAGCTGGAGGAACTTTGCCCGCTGCCGTGATCTGACCGGTGAAAAAGCGACCAAAATGATTAGCTGCAAGTACAACTGCCTTGTAACTGTTAAAAGAAGGAAGACTAGCCATCAGTATTATTGCATTTACATTTTTCCATAGATATAGTATGGTTTCTGAGTGTGGCTTCAGAGAGTAGCATTTGCTGATCTACCCATCTACCCTCTGTTCCCATTCACAAAACCAATATAGCATAAAGAAGGGGTCCCCAACCCCTGGTCCGTGGACCGGTACCAGGCCACAGCATGCCAGCAACCGGTCCGCACAAACAAGCAAAGCCCCATCCGTGGGATACAGGCAGCACACAAAACCACACACTCTCCGGTCCACGGAAAAACCTTTCTCCACAGAACCGGTCCCTGGTGCCCCAAAGGTTGGGGACCTCTGGTATAAAGGATAATTCAAATGAATCTGATAACTGAAAGTAAGAATGGGTTGCAACTGGTCATCAGAAAGCTGGACACAATGCAAATCATGGAATGAGAGAATCATGCCCAAGCACAGCTACTAACTGTGAAAAATAAGTTGTCATTGACACAATTTTATCAATCTGTTTGCCATCAATTTTGTATGCTTCAGTTGCTCCAGGTATCAAAATATGAGTCAGCCTGACAAAGCAGTTCACGTACAGGGAAGTTAAGTCCATGGAAACACACCATCAGCTACAGAAGTTCACAGCAAAACTTCAGGCTGCTATTTTGAGCCCAACGTCAAATGGTGGTTATGAGGAAATGCTGAGAAACCACCTTGAACTCCTGGAGGACATGATGGATGTTAATCTAACATAAACAGATTTGTTTACAGCACTGCACCATTTTTACTTTTCTGCTTCTCTTGTAGCATGTCTCCTTCAGTTTCAGATTTCCTGATCACAGAGAAGTCCTTCTTCAACAAGTGAATATGATAAACTTGTGAGATGGGACACTATATAAATTTGATTAATAAATAATAAATAAATAGTGGCTTCAAATTTTTGTTCTTCCTTTGAACTAAAATACAGGTAATCCTTGACTTACAACCATTCTTCAATGACCATTCAAAGTTACAACAGCAATGAAAAAAAGTGACTTATGACCATTTTTCACATTTATGACTGTTGTAGCATGCCCACAGTCAAGTGATCAAAATTCAGAGGCTTGGCAATGGGATGTAATCATGATGGTTGCAGTGTCCTGGGGATCATATGATCACTTTTTGTGACCTTTTGACAAGCAAAGTCAACGGAGAAGTCAAACTCACTTAATAACTGCAATGATTGGCTTCACAACTGTGGCAAGAAAGTTCATAAAATGGGCAAAGCTCTCTTAAATGTTTTGCTTAGCAACAGAAACTTTGGGCTCAGTTGTGGTCGTAAGTTGAGGATTACCTGTAGGCCTTACTTTCTGAGAACTTTCCAATTGTTAGAAACTGGAATTTCTTTGTTCTCTGTCTGGACCAGCTTAAGGGCAATGAATTTGTTCTGCTCACTGAAGAGGAAAGCACACATTTGTCTGAAATATGAATTCCACTCCATTTCAAATTCTTTATTAGTAGAATTCTGCAAATGAGTAAAAAAAAATATGTGGCATCATACCCAGCAATGTTGGCCATAGAGCTGAGAGCATCATATCCCTGAGCAATGGTCACACGTGGAACCTGATCCATAGCCAAGACGGTGGTGTTTTTTTCTGCTAATTTGTTCATCAGATCTGGGTTTTGAGCTGGATAGATAAAACTGATCAGAGTACCATGTGATTTTAAAAGCTCAATCTCGTGGACACCAAGTACAGAATTAAACACTGGAGCCCTCACCTAGAGAGGAGTAGAAAAAGAGTAAATCACAAAAACTCATAATGCAAGAATGAAAATAAAGTAAAATAAAGCAATATTCTAATATATTAATTTTTAAAAGCATTTCATATGCTTTGTTCTAATTGCTGTATTTATTTTGTGAACTCCAAGTGGAATAGGCCTACAAACGTGGTAAACAAATAAATAAAATGCTATTTAATAATTTTGTGCTTAATAGTTACATTATTACATATAATTTATTAACATTACCAATTTATAAATTATTATATTAAGACATGTAAGTCCTAAATTGGATTAAGATTCAAAATAGCAATTAGTTATTTGTTTAAAAAAGAAACACCATAAGGACTGGCGCTGGATAAGGAGACAAGGAGAAGGACAGAGAATTTTTAATTCTTTCTTCTCAGCTGGATGGGGCTGCAATGTCTGCCAATTGTACTGGAGGGACAAGCCCTATTTCGGTTACCTAGAAATGTTCTTCCAATGCAAAAGGGTATTGGAAAAGAAGAATCCAGAATCTACACAGTTGCTAATGGTGTGGAAGATTTAATTTTTCCTTTCTTTACAATAGGAAATTCCTTTAGTTAATGGTACATAAATTTTTAGTCAATGATTCATGGTTCGTTCTGAACTCTCCCCTTAGGGCTATAAATCTCTCACAAAACATTTCAGAAATGACCTTGTAATGTTTTGGAGAGCATGAGCTACTGGACAAGGACAATGTCTTGCATATTTTTTAAGTTGGGGCATCCTAGTTGCCAAATCATGCTTTATAATGCCTCTTCCCAAAGACTCTGCTGTTAGTTAATGTAACACTTGCTGTGTCATGATAACAAAAGATGAAGAGTTCCATTCCTGAGATCACCTAATAATCACCTAATCACCTGAAAAAATATTTTATCAGAATTCCTGGGCAGATTTTGTCCACCAATGTAAGTCAGTGGTTCTTAAGCTGTTTGACCCAATTATCCTTCTCCCAGTCTTGAATAGCATCACTAACCTTAACCTCCCCCCCCCAAAAAAAATCACACAGTTTTACAAAAACAACTTACAAACTGGATCCTCAGCTCACAAACAAGCAATTACAAATTGCTCCATTACTACTAGGATACGCCCAAACTATCCTTGCAGTAATTATCCCTACTTTAAGAAGAATTGGTCTAGTTGAGTATTTCTCAAGGTCATTTCTCATCAGGAATGCTGATTTTAAGTGAAAATAGATGATTCAAAACAAGGAGGAGTCAGATTGTTGAAAGTTAGCTAGTTAACTAGTTATTATTTGATTTGATTTTTTTTTTAGATTAGTGTTTCTCAACTTAAACTAATTTAAGATGGGTGAACTTCAACTCCCAGAATTCCCCAGCCACCCATGCTGGCTAGATAATATTATATAAAATAATAAATTATCTAACTATATAGCTTTCACCAACTTTACTCCTCCTTGTTTTGAATCATTTATTTTCACTCAAAACCAGCATTCCTACTGTCAATGGAGACAGAAGGGTAGGGAAGGACAATTAATCATCATTAACGTTTCAGTCTGCCGGAAGCAGAATGTTAACACAGTGTTGCCACTGAAAAGTAACCGCAAAATGGACTTTGCTCAGTCAACAGTTTGCCTAATAACTGCATTTGCTCTTCAACAACTGAAGTTTGCTCTCTGCAAGACAAAGCTTTATCAGATGTGCTTTGTCCTAGTTCCAAAAAACCTGGGTCTGAATTTCTAATGCTATGTATGTTTTTAAAATGTATTGCTGGTGAAAGATTTCAAATAATAAATCTAGCTAGTAAAAGTGACTGAATTTTATAACTCAAATGCCATGATTTATACCACCATAGATCAAAATACACTATGTACTATGCAAATAGTATTTTAAGATGATGTTTGAAGAATTAGGATAGGCCCACAGTTCCCAATAGCTAGCAGCACAGCAAGTCCTATATGAGGATACATAGCGATTATGTAGCAAGTCTCTTACATAGAGAGCCATTACAGTGTAGTGGTTAAGGTGCTGACTTAGAAACCAGGAGATTCTGAATTCTAGTCCCATCTTAAGTGTGAAAGATGGCTGGGTGACTGTGGACCAATCACTCTTTCTCAGCCCAACCTACCTCGTAGGGTAGTTGTGAGAAAAATAAGAAGCAGGAGCATTAGGTATGCTTGCCACCTTGGTATGTGCAATTTTTCAAAATCAAACTTTTGAATTCAACATGGCTACTTCCTGAGTTCAAAATGGCTTTGGATATTTGAAACTGTTGCATCCCATTTGAAATGGCTATTTCCACCACTTGGGACATGTTTTGAGCTGGAAATGCTTCCAAAATGATCAGAACGATTAATTTCAAATGCAAATCAACTTCTTTGAACTTAATGATTTTAACAAATTGAATTCAAAAAGTTTTCCATAATGCATATATATAGGTAATCCTCACTTAACCACCACAACTAGATCCCATCATTAAGCGAGACACCATGTGATCATGATCTGTGATTTTACTGCTTGCTTCTCAACTAACTGCGCATCCGAAGCCTGCTGTGAAGCACACAAATGGCAATCACTTGACTATGGGAATATTACAATGATTGTAAGTGTGACAACCAGTTATAAATTTACTTTTCAATGTCATCATAACTTTGAATGGTCAATAAAGTGAGGACTGCCTGTATATACTTAAATTTGTTTTGACAGACTTCATGCATTTTCATTGTCAGACAGGTTCCCTGTTATTTATTCCATGTTGACTGACCAGCACCTTAAGGATAAACTGATGAGAGTCGCACTGGCTTCCTTTAATATTCCTTATCCCATAGGTCTACTGTATATGCAGGCTCTCTGAATTCAAATGAGTTTTCCTGAAATTCCTCTTTCACATGTCTGGTTTTTACATTAAACACCTGTAGCCTTCTATCTACTTACATTTAGGAAGCTGATACTGCTTTGTCTCCTACTAGTGCCTGTGTGTTCCTACCAATTCCAAAAATGTGGTCAAAATATCTATGAGATAAATCTGTCCCACCTAATCCTTCATTAATAGAGATTTATCCTGTTTCCTTAAATGAGTCTCTTATAGATAAGCAATTCCTGACCGTAATGATTTTAAATATGCTAAGATTATGTTTCTAGGATCCCTGCAACTTTTTTACATGAAGACAAACTTCTTCCATAAATTTTACTCATTTTGAATTTGAAATTTTTTTTGTGCATCCTTATTATCTAGTTTTCAAATTTTATTTTTTATTTATTTAAGAAAATTTATATGACTGCCCAACCCATTCTCAGTGACTCAGACAGCTTAGATGGATAAAAACATACTATAACAACAATAAAAGAGCAATAACTCTCAACCTCTCTGTCAACAACAAAGTGGAGAAACACTTCTTTTTTGAAGAAAAACTTGAAGAGTATGATCTAATAGGAGTAGTAGTAAAAAAATAATTATTACCTTGAGAACTATGTCAGAAGCCAGTACTTCCTTGGTGCCCTGGATTCGTGCCCCAGCCTGTCTATAGTGGTCATCAGAGAACTTAGCAGTCTCTCCTGCATTTGACTCCACAATAACATTAAAACCCTGCTTAACCAGTGCTTGAACTCCAGCTGGTGACAAGGCAATCCTTTTCTCATTTTGAAAGATCTCCTTTGGAACACCTATACTCAGTTCCTTATATGGAATACCTATAAAGGCAGAAATATAAACATCAAATGAACTAACAGTTAAAAGCCTGAACATATTATAATATCCTATGCAAAAGTATTATTTGCATGTATCGTAAATCAATTTTTAATAAGCATTTAAAGCATTCTTATTTCAAACACAATAAATTTTAGGAACATCATGCACAAAGCTAAAAATAATATTTTACCATTTTATTATTGCAGTCTTCCCCTACCTGACAAATTCAAATGTAATGGATCTCCAACTCCTATAATTCTCAAATTTGAAGTAGGATGCTACTCCAAAAAGGGTTATAAAGAAAGCATGTCTCCAAGGTCCCATAACATGACCACATTTAAGGGAAGGGACCTACAGCATGCAATGTTTCATCTGAGAGTCTATCAACATCAATGTATCCCCAAATACTGTGAAAGCTATTCTTGATTCACATACATGATAATAGCCCTAGGGTGCCAACAGTCAGGAAGCAAGCACGGGTAATTATTTAGTAGCTGAGAGTTTCATTTATTTTTTGGGGGGTGGAGTGGGGGAGATACCAGAGAGAGAGGAGGAAAAGGTCTATAATGCGTGATGTGAGCAAAGTCAGGATTTTGTTTTATAACTAGGGTTGATAGTTTTGGGGGGTTTTTAGTTTACACTTCAATATTCCATCTTTGCCATCTCAAGATGTCAGTTTTGAGCATAAAGTCAAGAGGTTCTGGGAACCACGAAAAGGGGGCTTTAGAGATATTAGTCTCTTGCTTGCTATAAAGATTCTCTTTTATGTACAACTCTGTGAAGGTTCAAGTTAATTTGTGGTAGTAAAGTGATACATATTAAAACTCTTCGGTATACACACTGTGGAATTAACCCTTATGAGTATGAGAGAGGTTAAGCATGCCTTGAAGACAGCAGATCCATCAAATAATCCAACTACATACAGTATACATGATTAAAGGTGAGGTATGAATGGCTGTGAATCAACATCTACTTATTAGTTCTGCTGACTGAACACTAATTCCTGTTCTGTCACATTTGAAAGAGCAGATGCAGAATGCATGGTGATATTTAACAATAATTGGTTCTGTTGAAGAAGCAAGTGCAGTGTCCCTGACTCCTTTATCTCTCATCAAAAGGAAAGTCCCAGCACAAATTTTGTGCTGGATAAGCATAAGCAGAATAGAAAACAACAGTGGGAACTGCAGCTATCACCTATGGAGGGATCCTGCCTACAATATGGGTGCCATCACAGAGTACCACTTGCTTATAGGAGATATAGTAATCCTCAACTTACAACAGTTCGTTTAGTGACCTTCCAAAGTTACAACAGCACTGAAAAAAGTGACTTATGACCATTTTTAACACTTACAACGATTGCAGCATCTTCATGGTCACATGATTAAAATTTAGAAGCTTGGCAATTAGCATGTATTTATGACAGTTGCATTGTGTCGGGGGTCATGTGATCACCATTTATAACCTTCCCACTGATCAAAGGGGGAAACCAGATTCACTTAACAACTACGATTCACTTAAGAACCCACAGGAGTCACTTAACAACTGCAGTGCTTTGCTTTACAGCTGTGGCAAAGAAGGTCATATAATAGGCCACTTGCTTAACAACCGTCATAATTTTGAAGGGTCACTAACTAACCGATCATAAGTCAAGGACTACCTGTAATTAATCAAGGCAACAAGAATTGATTACCTCTTAGGAAGAAGTTCAAATTTCTTAAGAGCTCTATCTTAAGCATGCATTTATTAGTATAGCTGAAGAAGCACACACAAGTCCGCTTTCCCACACAATTTAATTTTATTCCAAAATTCAAGCAGCAATGTACATACTAAGGATATTACTATGCAGATTCTTAATACTCTCTATGGATATTTTTCTTGGTATGGCAAAATTTCTGGAAGATACCTGTTGGAGAAGACAACTACTGTAATACAAGTGTTCTATGTACATAATGAAATTTAAGTTTTCCATATTCGTAATATTTTTTCAAAAATATGTTTGATGCATACTTTTATCAGTTTTTTCTATTATATTCCATTCCAGCTTGTGCATAACAAAGAATTAGATTCAGTCCTACAGACAAAATAAATTGAACTCATAAAATATTTTATAGTCAATCAAATGTTCTATTCAACTACATACTTCACTTCTTCTGTCCTATCAGGAAAAGAAAAAGACAGAAATATATTTCTCTGAAGGCAGAATAAGCACAAAGGCAATACTTCTCGTATATAACAAGCTAAAAAAAGATATAGGAAGTTATTCCCATTTGGTTCATCAGGAACCCCCTTTAACTGTGTTGCATTATTTACAAAGCTAACTATTGTTAAAGTGATATAAAAACCACAGCTATTAAAAATAAAGATTAAAATGTTTTTTTCTGGGAATCAGTCCAATTAATAAACCTCAGTTACTCTTAAAAATCTCACAATTAAGCAGAAATACAGAACTGAAAGAAGGCTGGCAAGTACAGGTAATTCTCGACTTACAACAAACAGTTAATTCAGTGATCGTTCAAAGTTACAACCGCACTGAAAAAAGGGACATCACCATTTTTCAAAAGTTACAACCATTGTAGCATCCCCATGATCATGTGATCGAAATTCAGATGCTTGGCAACTGGTTCATACTTATGACCATTGCTGTGTCCCAAGGTCACGTGATCCCCTTTTGCAATATTTGGACAAGTAAAGTCAACGGGGAAGTCAGATTCACTTAACAACCGGGCTACCAACTTATCAACTGCAGTGATTCACTTAACAACTGTGGTCATAAAATGAGGTAAAACTCACTTAACAAATGTCGCATTTAACAACAGAAATCTGGGGCTGAATTATGGCTGTAAGTCGAGGACTACCTGTAGCTGGCTTTGTTGACCTTCATCATGACTCCTTGAGTGGTCTTCCACAAGATAAAAATAGAGGGACTAACCAATCACAGCCACTTATATTAGTAATAAAAAGTCTAAACTAGGAATTCTATAAAAGAAATTGTTGTAAAGATTACTCACTAATGCTAAGGTGGGGAATAAAACTGCAAAATGTGTACCTCATAATTGGTTTACTATACCAACAGCTCTAGAAGCTGCTCGCCTGTATTCAGAGTTCTGCAGGAAGAGAAGAAAATAGCCTAATACAGTAAAATGAAATGAAGACAAAAGAATGCAATGAATAACATGGAGGAAACAGATATCCTTGCAATCAAATTTACTTATAGTTCAAAGGAAAAAAGACCTATTAAAAATACACAAGGACACAATTTTCAATAAAGATATATTACCTTAAAGAGCTGAAGCAACATAAAAGAAATACAAAAATGAAAGGAAAGAAAGGAAAAAAATTAAGCTGTGAAGGCTGGCAATCAGCCACTGGATGAATGGTAGGCTTAGATAAATTCCAAAAATAATCATAGATCCTGAAGGGTGTGTAAGAACTGTAGGTTAGGTGCTATAGGTAACAAATAAAAATGGATTTTGTGCATTGATGTATTAGGAGACTAATTTTAGCCACAGTTCCTCCAACACAATAACTTTCAGGTGAGCCAGAATGTAACTCTCATCATACCAGGTAATAGAGCCATTGATTTTTCTGATTCGACTTACAACCACAATTGAGCCCAAAATTTCTGTTGCTAAGTGAGACAGTGAAGTGAATTTTACCCCATTTTACAAGCTTTCTTGCCACAGTTGTTAAGGGAATCATTGCCATTGTTAAGTGAATCTGGCTTCCCCATTGACTGCTTGTAAGAAGGTTTGCCAAAGTTGATCACATGACCCCGAGACACTGCAACTGTCATAAATATGAATTTTGATCACATGACCATGGGGATACTCTAGCAGTGGTAAGGGTGAAAAATAGTGACACGTCACTTTTTTCATTGCCACTGTAACTTCGGTCACTAAATGGACCGTTGTAAGTTGAGGACTACCCGTAATCTCTTAACTGAAAAAAGATATAAGTGAAAGCTAGTATTCTAAGGACAAAGGACTAATTTCTAGCAACATATTTTTGTATGAAATGCCCTTGAGTCCCATAGCAGGAGCAATGGAACAGGAGAAAAAAATTAGCAGATCTCGTTTAAGATCTCAAAGTCTTCCAAGAAGTTTTTTTCTGACTACACAGGTCATGCTAGACTTACAAACATGCATTAAATGTTCAAATTTATAACAGTGTTGTCAAAAGTGATTTATGACCAGTCCTGACATTTATAACCATTGTGGCATCCCCAGAGTCATGTGATCACAATTCAGGCACTTGGCAACCAGCATATATTTGCATCCTGGGGTCCCATGATTGCCATTCCGATCTTCCCGGAGGGCTTCCAGCAAGCAAAGTCAATGCGGGAAGCCAGATTTGCTTAACTGTGTGATTCGCTCAAAGACCATGGTTTAAAAAAAAAGGTAATAAAATCAGGTGCAATTCACTCAACCACACCACTTAGCGACAGAAGTTGCAATCCCAACTGTGGTCGTAAGTCGAGGATTACTTGTACCCACCAAATGCTCTCAAAATTCTAAATGAAACTTTTAGTGTAAAAAGGGAGGGGGGGGTTGTATGCAGATAATTCACTTTCTTGATCTTAAACTTTTCATATTAGCCACTGGCAAAAATTAAGTATTAATACTTCCTGCACCGTTAAATTACTGAAAACCCTGGGTTTTTCAATTTTTTTTTTTACTTAAAAAAAGAAAAATGCAGAGGATCCATTTCAAAAGACTAGTATACCATTAATTTTCACTTTCGCTTTATTCTCCATGCCTTTTATTTGAGCTAGCCTTAGTCATTGACAGCCACCATTCTCCCTCCCCCCACCTCCTCCTCCTCCTCCTGCCATGTGCCAAACTTCAAGGAAGAGAATCTCCAGGCAGGCATCCTTCCAGGCATTCTAAGTGTGTGTATAAACATGTCTTTCAGTGATTTAATCAGAAGAAAGTACCACCCATTGTTTTCTGGCTACAGAATGCAAATGCTCTTCAAAGAAAACAATTTCCTTTAACAAAGCAAA